GCCCATGGAGGATCCGGTGGCATTCTCATCCATCTTTCCAGTTGCTGGAACAAGAAACAATGCTGCAAATTGATAGCTAACTTTATTGTATCAATGGGAGAGATCATTGAGAGACTACAGACTAATCAGCATATGGGAAAATCCTGGAAAAGGCAATCAAGCAGCAGATTTGTGAGTACCTAGAAAGGAACAAGGTGATTACTAGAAGCCAGCATGGGTTTCTTAAGAATAGGTGATGCAAAGCAAATCTTACTGCCTTCTTTGATAAAGTGACTAAATTAGTGGGTCAAGAAAATGATGTGGATATAACATACTTGGATATCAGTAAGGCATTTGATAAAAGCAAGCTACAGCCTACTTCTTGGCAAGATAGAACAATGTGGAATAGACAAGTACCACTACAAGATCAATTTGCAGTTGGCTAAGCAACTCTTGAGAGAGATGGGTGGTTAACAGACCAACCAACCAAATACACTCAGTGTGTGATTCTTAACGAAACTACATCTATGTGTAGAGAAGCATGCAGTGAAGTTCCTCAAGGCTCTGTCATCAGCGTAGTGCTCTTCAACCTCTTCATAAATGACCCAGAAGAGAAGATTGAAGGGGACCTCATCAAATTTGCAGATGACATAGAGCTAGGGAAGAATTGCTAGCACTTTGGAAGGTAAGTTTAAATTTCAGAAGAATCCTGACAGAGTTGATCATTGGGCCTAGTCAACAAGATGCAGTCACTGAGGAGAAATGGTTATTCACTTAGGCATGAAAACCCAGGTGCATAAAAACATATTAGGCAGTAATTGGGTCAACAGTAATGCTGATGAAAAGGATTTAGGGATCCTGGTGGACTATTGCTGCAGCTAAAGGTTGCTTTATCTTGTGCTGCAACAACAAAGGGATAGTATCAAGGGTCAAGGGAAAGGATATTGCTCTACATGGCACTAGTGGGACCACAGAGAATACTGCATCCAGTTCTGGTCACAATACAGGTAGTCCTTGACTTAAAACAGTTCATTTAATGACCAAAGTTACAATGGCACTGAAAAAAGTGACTTATGATCGTTTTCCACACTTATGACCATTGCAGCATCCCCTTGGACACATGATTTGCACTCAGATGCTCGATAACTGACTCACAAGTGCAGTATAATGGTTGTAGTCATGTGGTCCCCTTTTGTGACCTTCTGACAAGCAGAGTCAATGAGGAAACCAGATTCACTTAACAATCATGTTACTAATTTGAGAACTGCAGTGATTCACTTAACAAATGTGGCAAGGAAAGTCATAAAATGGAGCAAACTTACTTAACAAATTTCTTCACTTCAAAACAGAAATTTTGGGATCAATTATAAGTTGAGAATTACCAGTATGAAAAAGATGCTGAGGCCCTAGAAAATGGTAAGAGGGCAGCTAGAGGCTAATTCCTATGAAGAATGGGTAAAGGGAATATGCTTACCTCAATGAAGACTGAGGGGAGACCTGATAGCAGTCTTCCATTACTTGGAAGGGCTGCCACAGAAAGAGGTTGTTGACTTATTCTCTGTAGCACCTGAAGGTAGAACAAGACGCAATGAATGGAAGAGGGAGACTTGACCTGGAAATAAGGGAGAAATTTCCTGACAGCGAGGACTATTAAATGGAACAGCTTGCCTCTTGGAGTTTGAGTGATCCATTGCTGGAGGCTTTCAAAAAAATACTGGACATTTATCTGAGACGGAATGAGTTCTGCCTTGGGCAGGAGGTTAGACTAAGACCTTCAAAGTCCTTCCAACAATGTGATCCTATATTTGTTTCTGGAATCATGGTCTGAATTATGTGGATGTTGAACTGCTGACATGAAATCAGTTGCACCTCACAGAACAGTAAATTGTGTTTAGCTGAAATATGACAAGCTTTAATAAGATTTCAAACTTAACTGTAAGGTCTGATATAAAGATCTGATAATAGTTTGTAGATTTTAGAGGAAAACAAGAATAGCGCTGTATTTTCATCTAATGACATATTGAAAAATCAGAATGAACATTGGCAGAGTTTGTAATTTTTATTTGACTATCCAGTAATGCTCAAAGTATGAGAAATAACATGGATTTCAGTTATTAGTGTACAAAGGCAAAATAATAACGGTAGCAGAAACCAGCAGCTGAAATATACAAGTTGTTTATAATAAACAGAAGAATTAGAAAAAGGTGTTGCCTGTCCAATGAAGAACATGTGATTTTTGCTCTAAGAAAATGGCAGATCTTTTCAAGTGTAATCATTTTTTCCTTTATGCCGATATCTGTTGGGAGACAAATGCTGCCAAACTTACTCCATACAGGAAATTCCTAATTTGTCTTAATACTGTAATTTTCTTTCAGAGGGTGAAGGAAAACAACAAAAAGATAAATAATTTCTTTAAAAAAAAATCCATATGGAAAAACGTAGACAAAATCATAATGAATTTTAAGGAAAATTAAAGCTGAATAGAGTGGAGTGTGCACCTCAGACTTTAAAAGGTTTTAAATACTCAGAGCACCAATTGTAGGACTCCAAGATAGGAGATCTGGGCCATCAGCCCAATGCCAGAACATATATTATTTGTTAATATTTTGAATCTTAGAAAAAGAGCACTTCAATAGTATACACTAGACAATTGCCAAAAGTGGTTTACTGAAGTATTCAAGCAAAGGCTAGAAAGCCAGGTTGCTTCAATTTGCATTCTTGAATGGATCAAGGTAGTTTGATTCAATGGCCAAATGATTCATAAAATCAGAACTAGCAGTTATTTAGACAATTAAATCACTACCCTCTGTACAGGAGTCTGAAATAAAGTATTCCCAACAAACAGCTATCTAATCTCTGTCTGAACATATACAATGAAAGGGGCCCTGGCATTTTTAGTTACACTGTTGAGCAGCTTCTACTTTCAGCTCTGATTCTACAAGAAATATCATTTACATGGGTTAAATTTTTCTTGTTATAGCATGAATTGAAGCAAGCTTTAGTAGTGAGCTGCAAGCCATCTAAATCCCCTAGAAAACTTCGCACACGAGAAAGAACATATTTTTGTCAATGTGCTTAGGGTCCAGGAATCAGCCCAAGTTACACAATACCTGAATTTCCACCACAAGGTTTCTTGCCCTCTTTTCTAAAACTTATCCATCAAAAAAAAAAAATATTCATCAAGCTGACCACCATCCTTGAGATTTGACCTTGTCAGCCGTTCCCACTGTGACTAAGCTCATACAAAACAATTATTGCACAACTAGTTTTCAAGATAACACATTAGACAATGGTTTGGAGCCAGTAGCAATTAAATTTATGCACGAAACTGATTCATTTCATTGCTACTAAGTCCCAAGAGGCCAGGTATAATGGGTTGTCTTGGCAGTAGGGAGGGAAGAAGGCAATTGCCAAGCCAGGCCCACCCTCATCTAATAATAAATTAAAATTTCCCCTTGGTTAGGGTGATTTCATTTTTTTAGTACAACTATTAAATCATGCAAGCAATAATGTGCTTTTGAGATTTCCCTCTTTTCTTTTTCTTTTGATTTATTGCTGTTTCCTTCATCAGCATAAGAGATTTTTGTTTCTTATTGAATGCCTGACTTCACCCATTTAATCAGGAATCTTATATATGCAAAACTTTCATTGCCGTTCTTTTGCTTGTTTCAGGGTTAAGAATTGACAAATGTCACCTTGACAACCATGATGCAAAATCACCAGATTAAATCTGGGAAGATCAGTTGGACTTCCACGCATCATCTCAATTCAACGTGATACATGATGGGTGGACTTTGCAAAGACTTCTATTTCTTTCAGAATTGGAGCAAGGATAATTCCAGGAAGATATAGCAATACTGAGTTTGTATTATATCTGACATCCACTTTCTAAATCTAACTCCCTAAGCCAGAGGATATCCTTGTTTGTCACCAGTTCTATAATTGAAAGCTTGGAACAAAATGTTCCTTGCTCCCCAAACCTCCCGGCAAGTACTGAACCTGAAAACGTGTACACATCTGCATCATCTTCCAGCTTTACCCTTCCAAGCTACTGATATGAAGCAGCAGGAAGGATGGAGATCCTGTCCTATTATATAAGAAGGAAAATCTTTCCAAAAGCTTCTTTGGCTTAGACAGGAAGTATCAGATCCTCTATTGTGACAGTAATAGCAAAATTGGAAATGGCAAAAGCTAAGTTGCCAAAGCAAACAAAATTGTGGAGAATAATCACATAGCGGTAGAGCACACAGTGGCATGTAGGTTTCATGATCGGTCCATGGGAGGTGATGGTGATTGATCTCTCTTCTGCGGGCCTAGAGCACCATTTCAAAATGTAGCCATTTTAAGAGGTGTGGACCAACTCCCAGAATAACTCAGCCAGCTTTTACACAGAAGGGACGGGTACACTGCTGTCTGGCGTATTCTGGGAGTTGAAGTCCACACGTCTTAAAAAGGCTACATTTGGAAAACACTGCCCTAGAGAACTGGCAGTCCAGATAGTAAGACTTTTATTAATTTAAATTTATTGGCTACCCAACTGTGGTGGACCAAGATTTGATTTGGCATCAGACAGGTTCTTTTATTTTAGCGAAGGTCAAAAGTTACTTTCGGATCCAGCAGCTTGACATTTCCATGATCTTACCATATGTTTATGATACTAGGAAAGCACCAAAGCTCTTTTCTCAAGGTTTATAAGGCTCAGCCTTTACCTCAAAGAGCCTCTTGCATGCAACTTGCAAGAGAATACACATCAGACTTACAACAATTTATAACATGCAAGTCGTGACATGGAAGTTGACAATGCAACAAACATACAGGCAATCCAGGTTAACTGCCAGCCTCATCTACAGCTTCATGAGCCGACTCGAAGTCAGCACTTCTTAACTGGGGAGGTAGGGGGTAGGAAATGAGGGGGAACAGGCTCAGAAATTACAGCACAACAGCAGTAGCAGCTTCTGTGTGAGCAGCAAAGGCGGCGACACTCCTCTGCCTGAAGGGATTGCACTTTTTTGTGCCCCTCCCTTCTGCTGTGTAAATGCCAAGTTAAAATGCTGAGGCCCAATTGGGGGTGTTGCTGTTTCCTACAGATTATTAACCACACTGCTGGTGCAGTACTTTTCAGGATGGTTGTTAATGAAAAGTGCCCATAAAATACCTCCACCCACCCATTTCTTTGGAATGTGCACAGAGGAATAACATCCACAATCCAGCCGGCCATGAATTCATACTCAAATGTGCATCTATGTTTAGATGAGGCCCAATCTACCTTCAATTGGCGGATCTGAATTCTTGCCTTACGGCCTCTTCTGAGGCAATATATCAAATGAAAAAAAGGGGACACACTCAGCCTTATATTGCTGCAACGTCCAAATTTGTGGAGGCCCTCAGAGAGGTCTAACTTCCATGAAGCAGCACTGACTCCAAAGAATTAATAGTGCCACCTTTTTTATTCGCCAAAGTCACTTAAATGCCAATCTGTTATGAATGTCTCCCTAGAAATGGAATCATAACCCACAAAGTCCCCAGAAGCAGTGGGGAGACTAGCAAATATTTCATGAAGGGGAATTTCAGCATTCCAAAGCAAAGAAAATTGGGAAAGCTTCTATAGCCCAGGGTTGTTGTATGCTAAGGAGTACTTTGTCAATGAACCCGATGATCAAAGTGATATTGTTGAGACTGGCCTGTGAAAGAGAAATCATTAAGAACATCTAAGTATTATCTCTTTCTCTCACGCCCACTCCCCAACCTCAGTAGGTGAAGTGGCCTTCTATTTTCAGGAGATTTCAATTCACCTAACTCTGCTTCTTTACCAGCAGCAAGGAGAGCCTTTGTTGAATTGTAATTCAGGAAAGGAGAACTTTTGCTAATCAAGATCTGTTACTATTTTGTCCCTACAGTAGGGTCACCACATTCCTTGGGGGATTACTTGCTTCTAAATAGGTATGTTAAATTCAGAAGCTCCACTTCTATGGCTCCCCCCCACCCCCCATTAGCTTTTGTTGTTTAAAATAAGCTGCCACCTCTTGGGGGCTGCAGGCCATAAAAACAGGAACTTCTGGGCTGTTGCATATGTCCCATAAATTGCTTAATCCTGTTATAACAATGCAGAAGGAGCTTTCCTATTCAGTCTTTCAAGCAGGAGGAAAACAGTTCAGCTTAGATTCTATGAACTTGTTGCAACCAAATTATTCTCCCATTGAGCATTTATTCTCCCACTGAGCATTTTTTCCAAGTTACAAAATCCCAGCAAGCTTTGATGGGTTTAAGGAAGAAGATAAGATGCCAGGCTGCTGCTGCTGACACCAGCCAAGAAATCATCTTAGTTTTGGGAAGATTCTAATGAACAGTATCATGCTGATGAAAATGAAACAGACAACGATCAACATTAGCCAGAGTAGCCAGTTGACAGATTTCTTAGCATGCTGCTCCAAGCGATCCGATTCATTCTTCAGTTTCTCAAAGTTCTGGTCAGCCAGCTTCAGTGACTGCGTCAAGGTCTGAAATAAACAATAAAGTGTCAATGTTTTGAAAACCAGCAAAATGCGGGCAGGTGCAGGAGAAGGCACAAATGTTGCTTTATTCCACATCACATTCTTGGAGAAACTCCATTAAAAAAAATGCTTTTTCAGGAAAGGGGCAACGTATAGTACTCAAATACCATGCCACAAGTGCTATTTTGCTCTGTCCATAATGCTCTGACAAGGACAAAGCTTTTTCTCAAAATTGGACACAATTATAAAATAGCTTTACAGAATTCACACTTCAGGGTGGGATGGAGGTGTCAGGTCATACCTGATTGTCTTGCTTAATCACATTCTGTGCCACAAGAGTGTTGTTCTTGAGATTGCGTGCCAGGTGCAACATCTCTTCAGCTAACTTCTCCTGGATGGTGTGATGATGCTGCAGGACAGCATCCAGTTCGGCAGCTGACTGCTTTTCATCAGGAACTGGGGTCCTATGGGGGAAGAGAGATCTTATTGGCACAACTTAAAAAGACAGCTTATGTATGAAAGGATAAAAAAGAAAAAGATACTACATGCCCATGTCAGATCAAAAGAAAAGCTACATCACGAGTGCAGTATCTGTATGAGGCCATTTAATGCAACTGCATTCCTATCTTCATCTTGAAGTAGGATATTCAAAAATATCTTTTATATTTATTTATTTTATTTATATTGCCCATGGCGACTCGAGGCAGCTTATACAATATAAAACCATATTTAAAACAAAAAATAAAAATATATACTAAAACTCTTGTTATGATCTTTAATTGGGTTGAAATGATGGATCAAACCCAGATCCCATGACTCCCATGGCAACTTTCCCAAAGTTGTGGCTCATTCAATGCTACTGGCTGCTATGAATAGTTTCCCAGCCAGTTTAGCAATCCTTTGCTCCCCTCACCCACTCAACAGTAGCCACTTAACTATCTGAAGGGAAGGTGGGGGAAGATTTTGGGTACTCTCTACCAGATTCCTATAAGGAAATTCAATGGGAAAGCCAGCAGGAAGTTGGAAGTCACTCCTACTCCAGTGCTTTTTTGCTCACAAATGGTCATTCTGTTTTTCTTTAAGGTTAAGAAAATAGGCATGGGTTGTCTAGTTTCACCTAATTGGTTGTCTACAAGTCATATCTAAGTCATATCTATGTATACAGAGTGGTGAGTAGGTCCACAGAGGAGAAGCATTTATCTCTATATTCCACAATGCAAGGTATAATGTGATTGGAGGCAGGTAATCACATACCCCCGGATTCCATCCAAAGCTGGAAATGGCAAAACAGTTGAGGATTTTTGAGGAACAGAACTCTCTGAACTTTTCCATCCCCCAACAGAAATAAGAAAAAAACAGGCCTGTGTTTCTCATGAAATCATGGAACTAAGGTAAGTTTTAATTTGAAAGTAAAACTAGTTTACTTTGTACTCTAAACAGGCCAAAATTATTCTTAAGTATTACCCCTTTTCCCTTACCAATTTCCATTTCCCTGAAACTTCTAAGTATTTATATAGTCTGAACAAAATGATTGCAACTCTTACTTCCCCGATCCCCTTTTCCTGAAATCACCAAATACTCACATGCGTTTCCTTAAATTTTTCTCTTCCAAATCTGTGAAGGGAAATATATATATATATATATTTTTACCCATAGCTTAAATATAGCTATAAGCAATAAACAAATGCTCTTGTCCTGGAAATTAGTTTATCTATTAAATCTTAAAAATATAAATTGATGCAAAGATGCAAACAGAAATTACACCACATTTTTATGCGTAAAAGGAAGCCAGCAGTAAGGAAGGAAGGAAAAGGCAAGCTGGCAAAGAATCAGGGGTGAGGAGGGGCATATAAGAACTTAAAATGACATTTTCCCAGTATTTGCTGGTGGGCCAGAAAGATGACAGCAACAGACATATCCAGCTTCTGCTTACAGACAGGAATTTTCAAGACAATCAGATGACAAATGGGCACAAGGATCAGTTGGGAATTTACAGTGCTACAGTCCCAGATGAGAAAAAAAAGGGAAATCTAGAAGAGTAGAATATAAATAATTGTGTATTATATTGCATAATGCTGGGGAGTTTAAATATTTTGTCCTGCAGCCTCCAGAGTCCTTTTGCACATCTCACATGATCAGTAAACACTTACCACTGATATAGGAAGGGTCCTGGGAAGGCAGAAAGAGAGGAGAAATAGAGAGTTCAGTAATAAATGGCATGAGAAAGGGTCTTTGCGATTTTGAATCTTTTGACCTCTGCCAAATAATTTCAGGATGCTCTAGACACATAAAATGAAAGTAAGATACCACTTCATCCCATAGATAGAACCAACTAGCTCCACCTAGATAGAGACCAAGGTCCTTCAGGTAACCATTTGCCCTTGATATAAAAGATACCAGCAAAAAAAAAAAAAAAAAAGCAATTGGGGAGGGGGAGAGAAAGGCAGAGCGAGTTGGGATGAAGGAAGCGGTACTACAGAGACTTGGACAAATGGATGCCCAGAAGCAAAAACGAAGAAGAACTGTTTTAGGAGTTGTACTGTTGGCTAAGAAGACATACTGTACCAAGCAGCTCATTCCTCATCTCGCCCATAAAGCGGGCCTTGGTCTGTAGATGCACGGTTTTTGTTGCTGGGGTCCGTTCCTTGGCAGTGGTAGGAGTTCTCCCAGGAGCCAAAAACTGATTTGCCAGTGCCTTCTCAGAAGATGATGACTGGGGGAAAAAAGAAAGCAAAGGGTACCTAATGATTGACCCTCTCCCAACAGAGGGTCACTTCAGCAGAGGTTCTTGAAAAAAAGGTTAAAAAAGAAAACCCACAAGGGAGGAGCTCACCAATTTCTCTGCTTCTAGCAGGCCCTTTAAGAAATCCACCTTACGAGAATATTCATTCAGCACTTCCGGAGCTGGTTTGCTGAAAGGGAATCACAAACCTGAGACAAGAACTACTGTGTAGAGAAAAACGCTCTTCATACACGTCTATGGGGGTTCTCGGTCATCCAGGTCATGGTTGTCTCAAAAGTGCTTTTTTCAAGAGGCAACTGGACTTCCTTTGGTTTTTCCTTCAAGATGTTTCGCTTCTCACCCAAGAAGCTTCTTCAGAAGAGTTCAGAAGAGAACTAAAGAAGCTTCTTGTACGAGAAGTGAAATGTCTTCAAGGAAAAAAGCAAAACATCCAGTTGCCTCTTGAAAAAGCACCTTTGGGACACCTCATACATCTTCCTCTCTTTTCTCATCCTCATGGAGAAGGCCGCCAGGATTAGCTAGGAAGGTCTAAGGAGGAGCAAAACTAAGACATGGTTCAATTCAGCAGCAACATTAGAAAATAAAAAAGATATACCATCTGAAGAAGACCTGATACAAAAAATAATGGACTGCGCGGAAATGGATAAATTCACAGCGGAACTAAAAGGCAAAGATGATTCGGACTATTATGCAATTTGAGAGAGGTGGTTCAAATGAGTATAATATAGAAATAAGAATTGATGTTTAGGTATAAAAGGAGATGTATTAATAACGACACAAATGCTCTTAATGTAAATACAGATTCGTAATTTTGTTTTTTTGTAATAAAATAAAAATTATTTTAAAAAAGAAAATAAAAAAGATAGTGCAAAAAAATGATATTCTATATATTTGTGGCTTCCAACTCCATCTCCTTAGCCAGTATTGCCAATGGTCAGAGATGATGGGAATTTAAGCTATATATCTCCCAGGTATGATTCAGTGATTCAGGATTTTCCTTAGAGGCAATGAAGAATTGCCACCAATTCCTGTTCTATATTGTCATTTTCTGGCTCATTTCCTATACCAGTTTCATTTCCAAGAATCTTTTGCAATATATGGCACATAGAAGCTAGGAGTGAAATCTGATTATTACTTTGTGCTTGCCAAAGTAACCTAATTAAAATGGAATTGATTACCAGCAAAGGTTAATATTCCCTGCAAAGACAGAATTATAAGAGGCCTGGCATTAAAACTCTGAACATAAAATGAAAGATTCCAGTTGACGTGATGTCTATCTAGCCATCCTATCTCACCTTCCTAGAACTATAAATTGGATCAGTATCAAAGCAGACCCATATACCTCCAAGAAAAAGCAACTCACCTGGAGTGTTTCTTCAATGTGAGTAACATCTCCTCCAGAGCAGCTACGTACTAAGAAGAAAATAAAATGGCACATTTTGAATAATTAGCACAAATCTTCCAACTGTGGCCTTTTAGCCTCCAATAAGGCAAGCCAAGTCCAAACATGCTAGAGAATTTCTAGAAGCCTGGCACTCTGATAAATTAATAGATACCAGTCAAACAATAGACATATAGACTTATATCTACCTACTATGCAAAAGAGACAATCAAATCCCCAAAAGGGAAAGACCAAAATACCTCCCCACCAGCAATCAGCATCCAAATAAGCATAGATTAACTCCAAGGTTAACATCAAGGCCAACAATTAAGTAAACAATACCCCAATCAAGGAACTTCCAAACAGGCCAACAGTAAACTGCCTAACCTAAGACTCTCCAAGACCACCAACATGGATGGTGTTACCTAGTTTGGGTAACGAAATGTCTGCAAGAAAACAACAAGCTAGAGAGCAAGGGGGACCCTGAGCTACAAATACTTTCCTTTATTGGCTCCAGTAATACATTAAAGCTGTCACGTCTTAATCCTGGCAACTTTAAGATGGGTAGACTTCAACTCCCAGAATTCCTCAGCTTCAGAATTAATTCTGGGAGTTGAATTTCAGCCATCCAAGTTGAAAAATACTGCATTAAAGCATGACACTCGAAAATAGTCTTGATTGTGTTGCGGTCAGTTGTAGCATTACCTCCTAGGTCTATAGTGAGGACAGAACAAAATGCAGCCTTAAGTGGGCAACTACCAGTGGTTTGGAAGGATGCTTTTTACGTGAGAAACTTGGGGGAGGAGGCAGAGTCTCTTACTCCTAAATGAGGAAATTTCAACCCTAATTACTTTTCCAGAACTTGATATGCCTGAATTTGGCAGACAGATAAGCAGGGAAATGATAAATGAAAGCATATACCTCCAATTGTAATAGCAACCCCACCTTTTCCTCGAGCCCTACACCCTTAGAGGTGAACAGGAATCCACATGTCTCCCCTCCCAAAAAGGAAAAACAACCCAAAAAAGAGTAAACGATGGGGCATCAAGCCAAATGCCACACTGGAGTCAATGAGGTTTCTCTGAAGACTGGGGAGAAAAAGGTAATGCCTGTAAAACAGAGGTGGGATGTTCATAGCTGGATCTCTATTTGGAAGCTTCTTTGTAAAACTGAAAATCTGTTTCCTTCCAAGGAGTACATCAAAACAAAGAAGCAACCCTTCCCTAGTTCTCTGATAAAACATGATGCTGAATCTCCAGCAAAGAGAATCCTTTCTAATTGGAAATAGGCCTGTTTTAAGGCTTCATAAGAGAAGGCTAATGGAGCAAAATATTTCTGCAATGTTTCTAGCCTGGGGAAATATATTTCAATCTCCAAACAATACAAGGGGCTGCAGGCAATATCGATAACACCGTGATGTTTTGAGTGTTCTATGGCCAGAAATTGGTATTTTTTTCTTCACAGAAGCCTTGCCAACAAATTCTAGTGGTAGGATCTCAATGCGCTTTAGATCATGTGAATCAAAGTCTAACTGAGCTCCAGACTGCGATGACAAGAGAAGCCCACAGATAATCAAGAAGTGGCATTCATAGTGGCTACTCCTAATGAATCAGATCAAACTTGGACCAGGAACTAGCTATAAGATTGCTAGCTACTTCCCTTTAATTCCAGTTTTTGAAACAGGGAAATTGCTTCTGAACAAAACATTCTGTCAATGTTAACAGCAATCAATAACTTTTACCTGCTAAGAATCTACAATGTATATCACCTTTGTTTTAAAAGCCATCTGAGTTTCTGACTATATTCTACAAGTTAGAAAAACTAAGGCTGCAGTGCCAACATACATACTAACTCCTAATGCATTCAGCAGTTGTTTCTGAGTAAACATTCATGGGATTTCTAGAGATGTAGTTCTGATAGCATGCCACAGTAAAAATAACTAGGTCTTGTGCCATCTTAAAGTTGTATTAACTAACAAGTACACAATCTATTCCATCAGATGTAAGGTGAAATGTACTGTATTATGATTCATAAAAGCTTACACTATTAATAAATGTGTTTATTTTTAAAAGTATTGTAAGATTGTCCCAGTTTAAGAACATCAATCTATAAAAAAGATAGGTTTTTAAAAATGTGATTATCTAGAAATTACATCCCGAGGAAGTATGATCAAAATTATTCCCATGAATTAAGCATAGTTTGCTACAACCAATCCTACATTTCACATCAAATCCCTTCTCTGCATCAGAATGTGAAGTGACTCAATAACTGGATTCTCTTTTGGCCTCACAATTATGACACTATGTTTTGACTGCTAGCATCTGATCTGGCTCTCAGCTAACCAATGACTTCATAATCCTGTTTAGTTTCTGAGCAGGCTGCAAAAACTCCAAATCATGAAGCTGAGTCTGTGTCAATGACAAGTGAACTATAAATTAACAGGCTGTGGAATACTGTACATAAGTATGTTACGTGCTTTAGGACATTTTTTTTCTTCTTCAATGCTATGCCCTGAAATAGAAATCAATATTTGAAAGGATCTAGGATTAAATATTAATAATAGAAAACAATGTGGCCCAGAATGCTCAAGAACCAAAGCAAAAACTGAACTTAAAAGGTTTCATTTACTCATTAATTTACTTCAGTTGTATGGCTTTAAAGTCCTCCATGACACGGGGCCAGGTTAACTTAGAGAACTGTCTTTGTCCCATTACATTAGCTTGTCCCACCCAGTCAGGCAAGGAAAGTATGTTGCATACCCCGTCAGCCAAAGAATTCCAATATGTGAGATCTAGGACAGGGGTCTCCAATCCCCAGGCTGCAACCCAATACCAGGCCTTGAGCCTTTCGGAACCAGGCTGTTGCAGAAGTGGTGGGCGAGGGTGTGTGCACATCCCCCCCCCCCCCGCCCATGTGCAAAGCAGGGAAGATTGGGGAACTCTGATTTAGGAAGAGACTCTTCTCTACTGTTGCCACCACCATGTGGGACATTCTCCCACCCAAATGTGAAGTGGGCCTCCACTCTTCTAGCCTTTTAGAAAGGTGTGAAAACATCACCCTGCAATCTTGATTGGGATGCAGAGGAACATGCAGTCATGTGGCTGGTTGGCACCCTGAAAAACCTCCCTCTGCCTTTTAATTAAATTTTAATGCTGAATTTTAATCATCCTTGCCTCTGTTAAATTTTACATTTCTCTACTGTACTCCTGTGATGTTTTAATATATTACTTGTACACTGCTCAGATTTCCTCTGTGAGGGAGGATGGGTGGTTTCAAAATTTGATAAACAAACAAATAAAAATAAATTAAGGGAATTTCTTCCTTTACTTGTAGGGAAACAAATGATGGTCAGCTGATCATTCCAAGCCAAGCAGTCAGTATTAAAATTATGCTTTGGCAATTTGATGCCTGTATCTGGTTGTTTTCCTCTTTCTATTTTCAGGCTGTCTTTAGACTGTGGGGCAGAAATTGTCTGGCTTTTAATCGATTTTACATAAGCCATGCTCAAAGCCTTTTTCAGTAGAAAAAAAAAGTTGAAAAGGGTTTCCTAAAGGATAGCAATACATTGACACGTTTACATTTACATTTTCCAAAAGCAGATTTAATTAAGAGTAAGTCTCTTGGCACTGATTATCTTAAAATTTCATAGCAGGTATCTGAATGGGGGTTGCTATTTCAAGCCAAGTTCTGCACTACCCTGACTCTCAGTGGACTCCATGACGTGGCAACCTGATATTGTAAAAGGCTGACTTCCTCCCATCTCTTCCATCACAAAATAACAGACCGGTTATCCGTTGTTTGTTGGACTGAGGGAGACACCCAGTGGAGACTGGCAGTCTAACCATCAAACATTGCACACAATATCAGTTTATAGATGTTCATCTATCTCATGAATATTCTCAGATCAGAAAGCAAAGGAAAGAAACACATACCAAAGAAGCAAATTCTTACAATGAAAATGTACTGCTGAGATATACTATTGAATGGACTGGGAAAATTAATGTACTTTATAAACATTAACATGTTATATTAAAAATTATATTTCTCTAAAAGATAGAGAATTCCTTTGTAATTTGCTATCCTTTTTTCTCTGGGAAATAATACTTTTGCACTAAACCCCTCTGAGGATTCAAATAAAACATGAACACCAAACAGAACAGCAGTAATAGGACAAGTACAGTATGCTAATATTAAGGGGGCAACAGCTTTTCAGAACATTTAATAACATAATGCAATTCTATTGTGTTAAGTACATGAATATTCATTATTTGATATCCATTATTTTAAATTATTTGCTCAATGCACTTACTTCTAATTTAATCACGTGCATCTACAAGAGGTTATGTCGTAAATACTGATCTACTCATATAACATACTGTGCTTCCTTGGCTCAGTGGCTTATGTGAACTCAGGTTTAACTATAATTTATTGAATAAATACAGAATAACAATGTTGAAAGGAACCTTGGAGGTCTTCTAGTCCAACCCCCTGCTTAAGCAGGAGACCCAATACCATTCCGGACAAATGGCTATCCACTCTCTTCTTAAAATCCTCCAGTGATGGAGTACCCACAACTTCTTGGAAGCAAGACATTCCACTGATTGTTTTCACTGTCAAGAAATTTATCCTTAATTCTAGGTTGGATCTTTCCTTGATATGTTATCATCCGTTATTTCTTGTAACCCTTAGGTGCTTTGGGGGAATAGCTGACCCCCTCTTCTTTGCAACAGCCCCTCAGATATTGGAAGGCTGCTGCCAGTATCATGTCACCCCGGTCCTTCTCTTCTTTAGACTAGACATAATTCCTGAAACAGTTCAAATCTTTTAGTCTCCATCCCACTAAACATCTTCGTTGCTCTTGTCTATATTCCTTCTTGAGTCTCAACATGTTTTTGTATCATAGTGGCCAAAACTGGACTGAAAAATTGTACAACAAGGTTTCAACTGACCTAGTTTGTACTGTACAAAATAGTACTTGTTTGATCTTAATGTTATGCAAACAAGCACTGAGGTTTGTTAACCAAGATTTATGGTATATTATGTGAATCAGACCAAACTGTAGTTTATACAATGCAAATCATGCATTAACACAGATCAAACTTGACAACTTTAAGACTTGTGGAATTCAACTCCCAGAATTCCTCCTCCAGTCATGTTAGCTCAGGAATTCTGGGAGGTGAAGTCCACAAGTCTTAAACTTGCCAAATTTGAAGACCCCTGCATTAACACAATACGTGAGTATAGTCAACTGCAGGTTGGGCTAAAACTAAGAGTAGCTTCCAACGTGAACAGCAGGCAGCAGCACTTAGTTAAGCAAGTCTGATTTTCAACAGCCAAGCAATATGGAGCAGGTATTTGGATGGGAAAGAACGATATTCCCCAGCTGCAACTAGATTAAGAAGTTAAAAAAGAAAAGAAAAAAAAATCAGGAAGAACCGGTGGCAAACTGCTCCAAAGATTCAACTGAACCCAAATATGGGGTGTCCACATAATCGCTAGGAAACACATCTGACTTTATTCCAAAAGCGACTACTGAACGTTGCAAATGCAAACGTTCTGCCATAAAAGAATGTAATGGTCCGGGACGGTCTCTTTACTTGAAAGAAAACCATTCATTTATTTAATAGCACAAGTCGCCATTCAGTTAAATAGTGCAAGCAGGTCACTCAATGCTACCATGCAGAGATTTAAAAAAAAAAGCATCCTGGACCAAACGTCTGCCTGAAATATCACTGCAAAAACGCTTGTGCCTATCAGTTCCCACCCCTCCGGACCTTCTCCAACCGCCACTCGTCCGGGTTTCGTTTATCGGCCGCCATTGCTTCACAACGGCTCAACAGCCGGACCAGCTTCAGTTCTGCACGGGGTACCGGCATCGGACCCAGCCCAGCCTCCGCCGTCACCGTCTTCATCGCTTTCGCCCGAGCCGGGATTGAAAGACCAATCAGCACTCCGCCATTGACCGTTGAGCCCAGTAGCCCCTCTGGCCTTCCCTCTCTATCGTCCTGGATAATTGCGGAAGCGGAAGCGGCTTCTGTTGCGCGCGCAGCTTCGATTCTTCCCTCTCTTCCGGCGCGGTCTTTGCGGCAGAGCCAGCGAAGGTGAGTTCTTTCCTTTGGGGACGGAGGGGCCCTCGCAGGATCGGCGTCCATCCGTCCCCGTGAAGCGGTCGGGGAAGCCTGGAAGTGCCAGGCGGTCAAAAGGAAGGAGGGCTGTCTAGGCCCGGATCAGGCTGGAGGGGGGCAAAAGACGTGTCATGAAATGGCTGTCGGGTCCAGTGAACGTCAAGGCGTTTAAGACACGGGGTACTTTCCCGACAGAATAAATGGCTCTCGATCCGTTTCCGTTGGTGGGTCTAAACAAGACGTGCCCAGTCGCAGGGTTTGTAGGGGGACTAGCAGGATTTTGGATGGGCAGCAGGCATAGTGGTCAATGCAGAGCAATGTACTGGGAAGCTGCTTAAAGTAAGTGGGGATTCCTTCCCCCTATGGCTGTATAATGGGTCTCCAACCTTGGCCCCTTTAAGACTTGTGGACTTCAACTCCCAGAATTCCTCAGCCTCTTAAAGGGGCCAAGGTTGGAGACCCCTGCTGTATAATTCAGATTTACATGAGGTCCTGATTGCCTCTGCTTATATGTCGGAGTCTTCTAAGGTTGACGCGATTTGTAAATAGCCTAAGCTAGAATGATAAAAGCACAAAACTCTGACTCAAAACCGTTGGGGTGGAGTGTTTTAAAAGGGGGGAAAAAAGAGAACCAGATTCTTTCATAGTTTTCAGAGTCAACAATCATTCTTGTTTATTTCTAGCTAAAATATGCCGGAATGCTACATCAATTCCAAAAATAAGACCAGTGACCATTCATTGCTATTGATCCTCCCCACTTTCCCCAATGTATACTGCCATTACTTGCAAAGCAAGTAAGGGGGGTGGAAGCAGCTTAGTGCATACACACACGGTGTTATTGGATCAGATCTGTCTTTTTCACAATCCTGGCAAAGTTGTATAAACTTCAATTCCCAGGATTCCCCAAGGCTGTTTGCTCCAGTATTTTGTTCCCGTGTTGACCAGCTAGTTGTCTCTAGGAATTTTGTAAGTAGGGTACGCATGGAAAACATCCTCTAATTTTTCTTTCTTAACTGATATTGAGAAAGATGTTTCAGTGACTGGCATTTCTTATACTCCCTTTAGTTTCTGGAAAAGTAGTTCATTGCCCAGGACAGTTTTTCAACAGTACCTGTTAATTATCTAATGTCTTCTTTTATATTGATGTCAGGAAACAAACATCTAATGAAATTAATCTCCAACCAATCATTATTTTATAACTCGGGGTATTTAATTATAAGGTTAGAAGTCAGGTTTGACCATACTCTTTTATTGGGGTCTTGTGCTGTTGAAATAGAACTCTGGATCTTTCTGCAATGTTATTGAAAGACTAATAAATGGGAAAAAGTAAATCCATTAATGTAAATCAGTGGTCCCCAACCTTTTTTTGCCCCGCACCCCTAAAGAAATTTCACTCGAACCTCGCACCCCCTGAAATAATAAATAAATAAAAATGCCAACGTATAGCCAATATCCTATTATTTACCTGGACTTTTCTCGCACCCCCTGGAATATCATCTCGCACCCCCGGTTGGGAACCCCTGGTGTAAATAAATACTGTGGTTTGGAAGGACTGTGCTGGGCTTTGAAAACAAAAAAGTCCTTCGGAGCATCAGCTAAGAAGTTGCAGTCATTTCTTCTTCTGAGATTGTACATGTAGTCCTCGATTTACAAATCGTTCATTAAGTGACCGTTCAAAGTTACAACGGCACTGGAAAAAGTGACGTGCAACCATTTTTTCACACTTATGCCCATTGCAGCATCCCTGTGATCATATCAACAAGATTCAAATGCTTGGCAACTGGCTCATATTTATGACGGCTGCCGTGTCCTGGGGGTCATGTCATCCCCTCTTGCGACCTTCTGACAAGCAAAGTCAACGGGGAAGCCAGATCCACTAAAATGTGGAATGTGTGGAAGCTTCTAAGTAAAATATGGCTTCCAAAGCCAACAACAACCATGTTACCAATTCAAGAACTGTAATGAGTCCCTTAACAAATATGGCAAGGAAAGTCGTAAAATGGGGCAAAGCTGCACTTAACACATTTCTCACTTGGCAACGTAAATTTTGGGCTCAATTGTGGTTGTAAGTTGAGGACTACCTGTACTGCTGTCCTCTGCTGCTATAAGGTCATCCCAGGAAAAGATAGATTGAGATATGGAGCTGCAGACAAGTTTCCATTCCAAAGGCTCTTGCCTTCAAATCTGAAATGCTGCACATTCCTTGTAGAAAATTGAATTGGAAGCAGAGGGGGATTTATATTTATTAGATTTTTATCCCAACTTTTATTACTTTATGAGTATCTCAAAGCAGTGTGTACACTCCTTCCTCCTACTTTTCCCATAAAAACAACCCTCTGAGGTAGTCCAGGAAATGATATTGGATCAGTTGTTTGGCATGAGTGGCAGAGCATGCTGTCTCTCATCTCTTTGGACAACTGATGGAACAAAAGAGTGCACAACTAATCATAACTCCTTCCTGCTCTTTCCTAGCCATGGCGATCCGATATCCAATGGCCGTTGGCCTGAACAAAGGCCACAAAGTGACCAAGAATGTGTCAAAACCACGACACTGTCGACGCCGTGGGGTAAGTTTGGATTTCGAAACAGGTGGGAGAAGTACCACAGCAGTCCCAGTCTTTCTGGCAGCAGCGGGAGAGGTGGGGGATGGTTTCGCACATGCAACCCAGTTCCTGCACATGTGCAAATAAAACTTGTGTGGCCCAGATCCCAATGGGCCACAGACCGGTATCGGCCTGCAGCCTGGGTTTTGGGAACCCTTGAAGTAACAGCCTCTGCAAGCCTTCCTTATTTCTGATTCCGAATCAGCTTAGGGTAATTGGAAGAGTTCTTTGGCTTTGACTTCATCTGAAGCTTTGAATCCATGAAAAAAGAAATGGCTGACAAGATTCTAATAAAAAAAGGCTGTGGCCTGTGCCTAGGGTGTCACATTCAGCCTCCAGCATCTCCAGCAAGAAAGGGCCTCGGGTAGTAACAAACATAGGAAGGGTGATTTCAGTTCTTCAAGAGCTTGATGTGGTTTTCTCAGAGTAGACAGCCCCAGACAAAATGGGCGCTCTGATCTGTTTCAAAACAACTTCCAAATGAAGATGGGATTTATTTTTTTTAAAAGAAGGTAATGGATTTCAGGATCACGCATTCAAATAACACATAGCCATAGCACTTATATACCGCTTCATAGTGCTTTCCAGCCCTCTCTAAGCAGTTAACAGAGTCAGCATCTTGCCCCCAACAATCTGGGTCCTCATTTTGCCTACCTCAGAAGGATGGAAGGCTGAGTCCAACCATGAGCTGGTGACAATCGAATTGCCAACCTGCAGGCAGTACTACAGTCTAACCACTGCGCCACCAGAGCTCTTATAAGAAGTGCCCTCTTCAAAATCAATGTAGATAGTTCTCATTTAACAATCACTCATTCAGCAGCTGTACAAAGTTAGCAGGACTGAACAAGGGGGATTTATGACTGGTCCTTGAAGTCGCAGCATTCCCATGATCATGTAATCCTGATTTGGGCACTTGTCTATTATTGTCTCAATTATCCAGGCCATGGTTGTCCCAAAAGTGCTTTTCCAAAAGGCAAGTCCTCAAGAATGTCCTGTTGCCTTTTTGGAAAAGCAGCTTTGGGACAGTTTGGGCACTTGGTCATGCCTGGTTCTGAACAGGCCACGGTCTGGAGGTTGGGGACCTCTGGTTTAGAGGAATGCTTATAAATCACTCAAGAATTGTTCTTCCAATGCTATCTTGGAGAATGCATTGCAGTGGTGGGATTCAATTTTTTTTTACTACCAGTTCTGTGGGCATGGCTTGGTGGGTGTGGCAGGAGAAGCATACTGTGAAATCCCCATTCGTTCCTCACTCCTGGGAGAAGGTTATGTTCTGACTCACGCCCTTTTCCAACAAATCAAACACAATCCAAAAGGAACAGAAACCTTGTAAGGCTTTTACAAAATAATTAGCTGTGAAAAGCACAAGTCTTGTCAAGCTGTGCAAGACTTGCCAAAAGATAAGACAAGAAATAATTTGCAATACGAGGATCTTCAAACACAAACTCAGGATACTGGAACGTCCATGAGGCTGGGGTTTCAAAACGTCTTTGCCTTCTGCAAAGTATGTTCGTTTCACAGGTGGCTTTTATCTTCTTGAAGGAGGGGCTATTACCTTGCAGCCTTATTCCCAAGATGTTGTAACTGCTCTTTTCTCTGAGCAATCCTGAGCGCACCCGCACTTATCACAGGCTCCTCGGGAACCTCATCACTGCTGCCAGCCCCCACAATCTCTGAAGGCAGCAGTCCACTCCCTTGATGGTCCTTGCCCCTCATCTGAGAGCTTGCTCTCCTCAGCTGTCCGCACCTGCTGCCGGCTAACCACAACAGGTTACTGCAAAATCCCCATTCCCTAACCCCCCCCCCACTAACCTGCTTTCCAGCTCTCTTTTCCTGTGCAGGGCAACAAAAGATGACCCAGCCAATCAACTGGGACTCGGGAGGCAGAGAATAGATGGGGGCGGGGCCAGTCAGAGGTGGTATTTGCCGGTTCTCCGAACTACTCAAAATTTCCACTACCGGTTCTCCAGAACTGGTCAGAACCTGCTGAGTACCACCTCTGATGCATTGCAACGTCATACACTATCACAGCATGTAAGACAATTGAGCAGTCTGTCACAATACATCTGGCTGAAGAGTCTGCCTAGGACAGCAGGCCTTTGACCTACCTCCTTGGTTCTTATTTTCTCATTGTTGTAGTCTTCCTATCCTGATCTTTCCTTGGAATTCGGAAAGTTGTACATCTGGATGGCACCGCCTCAGGGAAGACTTTAAAGGC